GGGGGGGGGGGGGGGGGGGGGGGGGGGGAGAGAGAGGGAAAAAGTAAGTGGGAATAAAAAAGATGAGATGAAAAATGAAAGTTATAACTCTTTCTTCGTTAATCTTACAAAAATTGTTAACAAAAAAATGGAAAAAAAAATTTTTAACTTAATTTGTTCACTTTAAATGTATAAAAATCTTCCGTTGATTTTCTTCTTTCTTTTTTTTTTCCTTCCCCCCTCCATTCTTTAAGCGTTGGAAACCAGATTTTTATTTGTATCGCACAGTAAAGTTAGCTTTCTTTTTTTCAACAGAGTACAATTTTTCTTCTACCTTGTTACAGAAAGTAAAAAAAAAAAGAGATAGCAGCAGTAACAAAGGTAATAACTGCAAAACAAAAAAAAACCCTTAGACAACGAAGGTTATAAGCAAATATGCCTTTGTTTCAATTTGTTTTTTCTTCTCTCCTTTATTGACAGCAATTACCATCCACAACCAAAATAGCCTCAACAGATATGCACAGATAAATAAAAATCTATAGCCATACAAAAGCCTACAAATAATATGACTTCGGCAAAAAAAAAAACAGAAGCAAACAGAAAATTAGGAAGAAATAAATGTTAGAAAAGAGGAAAAAAATTTATATAGATTATCACCATAGACAGTCCAAAAAAAAAAAAAGACTTAACCGGTTTCCAAGAGAAAAAAAAATTATTTTTCATTTCCTCAACCCAAAAACACTTAGCACTTTCTTCAGGTTTCTTTTCTTTTTCTTTTTTTTTTCTTCTTCTTCTTTGTATTCAAAACTGTACATTGAATACTGTTTTTCCTAGCCGTTTCTTTTTTTTTTTTACTGTTACCAGTCACCTATATTTGGCAATTGCTGTTGCCGTTGTTGTCGTTGCTGCCCATAGCTGCTGGGCAATAACTGCTGATATTTGCCACTGTTACTGACAAAATTTTTAATAATACCAAAAAAAAAAAAAACTAAAAAGAAGTAAAAATAAGATTAGAAGAAAAAAGCGCACCAACTTAGTCACTCCTTGTATTTTTGCAAAAAAAAATAAATAAATAAAATAATCAAAATGATACAAGTAATACAATTTCCTATATTTTTCACACTTTTTTTTTTTGAAGCATTAGATTATTCAATGGTTATTATGATTTTGAGCTTTTTTTTTTTTTTAGAATAGAAGAATGGGGCAAAACGATGTATTTTTTGGAAAGCAAAATGCATATTGCTTGATTAATTCAGAATGGTTTATCCAAAGCGCATATTTTGAATCATCTCTACAGTTGATTTGTGTTATTTTCCACAAACGATGTTTCTGTTATGTCTCTCTCTTCTGTAAACGTCACCGTCGTCATTTTTGCGATCTTTTTAAACTTTTATAATCCAAAAAAAAAAAAAAAAAAAAAGTCCAATATGCAAAAAATTCTAAACAAAACAAAACAAAACAAAACAAAACTAAGCAAAACAAAACAAAACAAAAACAAAAGCAAAAACAAAACAGAACAAAACAACGAAGAAAAGCAAAGCAACAAGCGACAAGCAACCAGGCCGGCAGGCAAGCAGGCAGGCAAGCCGGTAAGCAAGTAAGTAAGCAAGCAAGATAAATAAATTTCTAAATAAATAAATATATAGATTGGAATAAAATAGAATAAAATACAGAATAAAATTATGGAAAGTAGGAAAAAAAACCAGCGAGGAAACCAAACAAATAAACAAATAAACAACGACAACAACAGAAACAACGACAACGACAACGACAACGACAACAAACTAAATATAGGCGAGTAACAAGCTTGAAAAAAAAAAAAACGATGGAAAAAAGAAAGAGCCGAAATAAATAAGGAAAAAAAAAAA